AATCTTGAGAGAACTCATTCACTATCAAATCATTGAAGCCACATAATTAATTGTAGCGGCAAATTTAGATACTTGAATTTTACAAGTTCTTTGCGTCTACATCACTAAATCAGCTGAATTTAATAATTTATAAAAACTAATGGCTTCCTACATCTGTATCAGAGCCTTCACCTAAGTTTTTAAAGCTTTCGTAGGAGAAGTAGGAGAATGCACAGTTGTAACCTACTTATGTTAAATAGCTGATTTTGACCATGTGATCTGACATAATGGTGATCACCAATGAATGTTGTATCTAATAGGGGGTTATCCCAGAAGGTGGCACTACAAAAAAAACCTGCTAAAAATGGCTGCTTTTTACAGAGTTGACAAAAGGCACTTTAATGGGAATCCAGTAAAGTGCCAAAAGACAAAAGACCCTGCGGTAGATTGCCAAAAGTGCTTGTATTAGGTATAGTTTTGACTTGTAAACAAGTACATATTGTGTATAACCTGACTTTCATGATTCTTTGAGAAGTTATCACTTCAAATCATTAGGTCAACAGTCACACTGTAGTTACTGGAGAAATAAAATATCAAAATAATGTAAACTGCCAAAAAATCACTATCAGTAACTCTTGAAAATAGCTTTACTAAGGCAGTTCTATTTGGAAGATTTTCAATGAACTAGGTGCAGGCAAAAATAATAAGAAATAAAAATTCATCAACTGAATGAGGAAGGTCAAGCCAGTCATACAGATGAAGAAATTGTAAACATTTCTAACAAATGTTCTGTCATTGTTGCTTCAAAAATAAAAATACAAAAACATGTTTACTCTTCAGTATAATGAAATAAGAAATTGAAAAATTGTCTTTTTAAAGTTAATTTTTTATTCCAGCTATATCAACTGATAAAGGTCATTAGAAATTCATTAAAACTATACAAACAAAGCAACAGGTTTGGATGATACTGGATCATGCCTCTTGATGGTTACAGCTACAGTGGCCTTTGACAAGACAGCTTGAGCATACGGTGTAAATCATAAAATGGCATCAATAGAAAGTAATTTTCTCATAGGATACTTGTAAATGAAATATGTTCTTGGGCAAATGATGCATCTAAATTTTCAAATGATGATTATTTACCATTTATACTTGACTGCACAGACTCAGAACTGCCATAGCATAATGTTCCAGCAGATCTGGATCTGTGCTGTTTTAATAAGTATTATTAAGAATAAACAACATAAACCTGGATTTACAGGAGCATTATGCTACAATAAATTGATCAGAATATTTTCTTGTTTTTAGTTGGATTCCACTTATAAGTGAGAATATACAGTATGCATAATGGTCTCAATGAGCAAAGATGTGCATGCATTCATAAGCTGCACAGGACTTACAGCACATAAAGCCAGCCATGGCATAAATTGAGCATGTTGAGACAAATTATTTCTTCTTAACAAATGGCAGCAAAGTGAAAGAGTGTAAAACAGATTTGCATATAGTGAGTGTCACCTGGATGTAATGTGAGCATATCTTCCCCAGCAAGGAAAATAGCCATATTACTGATATTTGTAAATCAGATGACAAAGATACAACTACAGACCTATACCTCTATTAATCACTTTATAGAAGTCCTCAAAAAACATGTAAATATTGTACTCATCAAACCATTACTTGGGTCACTTATATTCATCAGAGTTAGGGAAAAATTACTCATGTTAGACAGCTTTAGTCTCCATGGTAGACAATAAATAACTGCTTTGGACCGAGAGAAATTAATAAAAGCTATGCATGTTGACCTTAGTAAATTTTTGAGCCAGTAGATCAGAATATTCTTCTTAGTAAATTAAAGATACGTAAATGTGATGTAGCGGATCACAATGTGTAACTATTAAAATTGTCCCTTTCTGAAGAGGAGTCCAGAACATAGGGAGTAATACGGGTCCACACTGGGACATTTCTTCAATTCATTAATATTGTCTTCAGAAATTAGTAGTTGGTTTTCACACACTGATCTATATGCAGTTGACGCAGCCCGACCATGTATGTATGTATGTATGTATGTATGTATGTATGTATGTATGTATGTATGTATGTATGTATGTATGTATGTATGTATGTAAATTTGGGAGTTTCTTTTACTTTCATTTGAAGGGAAGTTTTATCCATTTTATTTGTCTTTCATAAGGCTGGATGTATTATGAAGTGCATCAGCCAGTCATCGATTTTGTTTATGCACAATAACTTGATTTACCCACCATCAACATTTACCAGACTTTGCAGATGGTTGGCACTTGGGGTAAAGAAGAACCTATATTGGTTTTGTTGATAAAAGGTCAAAGGTCAGGATTATTGAAAGAAAAAATGAGATTTGTTGAATTATTACTTTTGTTCAAGATTAAGTTCCTTGACCAAAATTTGTGGACAACTTGTCTAAAACCTACATTCTGTTGCCTACATTTCTGAATATAAAATTAAATTCTAGGCAGTGTACCTTGTTGAAACTTGTTGTTCAATAAGATACACAGATGTGTCCAACTAGTACCTAAATTACAGTATCAGTAATATGGATTGGGTGTATAACATGCTGTTTTCGGTGCATAAGTGGAAATTAGAGTGGGCAGAAATTGGAGCAAATTTCTCAGAAGTCACATTATTTGTGTGCGTAATATCCACAGAATAGAATTTTAATTGCACAATGCATAATAAATCACAATCTGTTGTTGGTTGTTCTTTGTGTTTAAACACAGTACATATTTAAAAATGATCAGCTGATATGGTATATGACACATACAACAGATGTGTTGTATTGGCTCAAAGTTATTTACACATGGTACATGACACAACTCCTCTTCCAGGAAGTGTAATAGGAAGATCCATACACATTGGCTGCTGTTGTGGCAATGGGACAACATCCTGGAGCAGACTGCATATCTGGTTAACACTGATGGTTGGTGGATGGGGGAGTGGTGCTTGCAATACTCATTGAGGATCATCCACAATCTCATTTGTCCTATACAAATATGTATTATTGGATATTAGAGAAGGTTGTCAAACAAATAGATAGCTTTTACTTTTAAGTCTGATTGACATGCAGTGCTCCATATTAATGCAGAAGTAAAACTTAGACCCTTGCTATCAGTGCTAAAGCATATCTACCTATTATAAGTAAACACAAATGAACAGAAGAAGCATTATAGCTAAAATTACATCCAGACAGCCAAAGCAAACTTGTTGCAATATTTACACTGGTTAATTCTTAAGGTAGTGATTTTAAATGTCATCATACACTTTGTCAATAGCACATTGCTGTGATGGAAGACAACTCAATGTCATTTGTGTTGATAAACAATTAGCATACTGGACTTGCACTGTCCTGGAGCACTAGATTCATTAATAAAAAGAATGGACTGAAAAGTAAGAGCAAAGACAAAAATGTTATTTTTGAATTTATCACTGCAAAATTGGAGAAAAAAAAAAGTCCAGAGATTAGTAAAGGGCAAAACTTGTAGAGTGATTTTAATAGGAAACTAGATGCTCAAGTGATGTAAACACTTTTCATGCAGTGTTATCAGTTGCAGACAAGTCATCTGTTAATTAGTTTGTGTCTCATTGGACCATTCACATCTCAACAGATTGTGAAAATAAAGGCAGCTTAGTCAATGAGTAAGTTTTTAATTAGGTTTTCACCGACATGCTTCACCTTTGAATGATTATACTGTAATGGAATTAAAAGAGTCATTCAAAGGAACTGACACTACTGGGTGAAAAGAATTTTAAGAAATTTTAGACAGGTCCATTTCTTCTTTTTAAATGTTTCGTGTTGAGATCATTTCTGATATCCTTCAGCAACAACTGAATTTTCAAATTAGCTGCTGTTGTGTACATATTAAATCTTGGCTTCCAACCATTTTCATTTAGGACATAGTAAGCATTTATTAGAAGCGTTTTTGTGATACTGATCAGCGATTCAGGGGGAATAGACTTTTGAGACAGTTGTGGCAGCCTTATTGGCTCTACCACTGATGCCATTTTCAGTTATGACCAGCAAGGTATCATATGAAGACTGTTGGAGAAACACTATAGCCTTTTGTTTTGGAGGAGTCGAGATAACACTATTTTCAAGATATGACTTTCCATTCTGGAGTAGCAATAACATGATAGAATCTCTGGTGGCCATACTGGATGACAGGTAAATACCATTTTGATTTAGGACTAACCCGAGTCTTTTATTGAAAACCTCATGTTGATGTTGCCATCCATTCAGGAGGATTAGTGATATCAAGATTTCACATGACTGCTGAGTTGTGGCCACTTTGGATGTCATATTGGCACAATTTCATTCAAGACCAACTGGACATAAGAAGTCTTTGGATGAAAATCAATAGGACCTTCGGTTCTGTACAGTTGTGATAAAATTTTAAAAATGATTACCATGTTGGACAACAGATCAGTACTATTTTCATTTAGGATGAACTAGACATCATAAGTTATTTGGTCTAAACTCTATGCTTCTAGCAAGATTTTCAAGATGGCTGACATTGTGGTCTTATTGAATGTTCAAGCAGCACCATTTTCATTTAGGGCCAACTTGACCATCTAATGAATCTGTGTGTGAAGTTTCTTGTTAGTCTTCAAAAGAAGTTTATTAGAAGTAGCAATAACAAAAATGGCGCTAATTGATGGATGGATTACAGACACTGATGAACAGATCATCCCATAATGTCTTGGAGCAAATAAAATTAAAACATGCATTTTACTTCTCAAGATATATTCAATGTTTTTCTTTGTGTTGCTATTAGATTTTTTTCATTTCTTAATACATTGTATATTGTTATTTAATGAGAATTTATTTTTTTAAATATGCAATATGTTAGATTTGCCAAGTTTCCGCTAAATCATACCATAAAAAGATTATATACCTTTGTTTTGATGAATATGGAATTTTATGAACCAGTAAACCTGACATTGACCTCTCCATCATATTGGTTTATAGGAGGTTTTCACCTAAAGAAAGTGACTACTCCGGTGCCCTAGTGGTTAGAATGTCTACCTTAGATGTGGGAGGTTACAGGTTCAAACCCTGGCTGAATCATACCAAAGACTTATAAAAATGGTACTAACACTTGACACTCAGCATTTAAAGGTTAGTGTTAGGACTGATCGACCTGGTGTCAGGATAATGTGACTGGGTGGGACATACACTACATGTCAACAGCATGATACCCTAGTGCTAGACATCACTATAAACTGCTACACTGCAGACATCTTAGTGATATGACTGAAAAATTTTTAAAGTACGTTAAAAATCTGTATCACTCTCTCTCACACACATACACATATCAAAAGCCAAAACTTCATAGCAGGTTTTTACCATAACAAGTTGATCTTTATATAGGAGGTTTATAGGTTCTTAAAACTCCATATCTATAATTTCACAGTCATACCAGTCTCATACCACATGGAACATGCTCCCAATTCTTCTTTGCTCCAACCTCCACTAGAGATGTCCCAAATAAATAAAAAATATCATTGATGATTTGTGCAGGATCAAGGATGTAGAACTGGCACAACATGCACTCCTCGATGTCAAAAGCAGTGGGTAATGATCCAGACTGAAACATTGCAGTTTTAAATCCTGTCATGTCTTTGGGCTTAGCACTATACTCCAGTTGCCTTAGCCCAAAATGATCTTCATATATTGCTGTGCCATTTAAAACACCAAAGCAAACCAATTTGTAGACATTAAATTGCAAATAATGTATAGAATGCATACTCTTGCTATGCCTACTAACTAGGTCACTGTTGCAAAACTGGGTCAGTAAAATTAAAGCAAGAAGAATGGAAATATTTTAGTGTGATAGGAATATGAACACTAAGATTGATTTCCTTGTAAAACAGCATCTTGCTGGGTGTATTTCCATTGACAATATTGAACTGTGGTAAATAAAATTATTGATAGGAATATGAACACTAAGATTGATTTCCTTGTAAAACAGCATCTTGCTGGGTGTATTTCCATTGACAATATTGAACAGTGGTAAATAAAATTAGGCCTAATGTATGCTTTAAGCAATCTCTTGATCTGAGAGTGGAGTATTGAGTGGTAAACTATTCCATAATGGACCTAAAATGGTTCAGTGACCAGTTCAGTCACTCAGGGTATAAGGGTGTAATGTTTACCTAGGTCAGTTGAACACCTGAGCTCAGTGGGTCATCTGTGAGGATACTTTATCTTACCTGTGATAGTCCATAAGCACCTGATATTTAACATTTGAATTGTAGCTCTTGTGGCCAATGACAATATGAGTTTCTGACTTAACTTTGTATCTGTCAGGTGTCTCTTTATACATTGGTCCATATTTTTCACCTTCTTGGAAGCTCCTGGCAAATCTTGTTAAAATTTTGAAGGAATATTCTGTAGTAATGATAGATTTTTTTTAGCAACCTTATGGAAAACCCTTTTTAAACTTTTGATCTTGGCTGACCTGTGTTACTATGTGAATGTTTCCTAGAAAATGTGCTATCAGTATTTTGTCAGCAATGTTTCCTTTAATAATGGTGTGACTTTCTTAACACCCAAGTAGAATCCTATTTTCAGTTTCTCAAGAATGGCCAGTTTTGAATAATTTTTTGGGAAGAATTCTTATGCTTTATAGGAATTTATCCAGGTTGCAAGGGATAGCCAGGTAGACAGTGCTTTATAGGAATTTATCCAGGTTGCAACCATAGATAGCCAGGTAGACAGTATGTTGTCTTTTTTCTTTAACATTGCTCTGACTGTTTGGATTAAACATAATGTTGGGACATTCATAAGGTTATGCTGTAGCAGAGATATTATCAGGATGGCTCTGCTAGCAGTGGTTTGGTTTCCATAGTAACTACCTACAAGTGATGTTTATCTTCCATCAAAGTAAGGCTATTGTTGCCAACACAGAATAACTTTCTAACCAAAACTTCTTGACAAGTCAGACCAATTATGATTCACAATTCTAGTATGATTACTTTTTAAATTCATATGGGGGCCCTGGGTGGCTGAGTGGCCTAAAGTGATTTTTTTCTGATCACTGTCATCTCACCAGCCAGTATGGACTGGAGCTTTCCTTTGGCCAATATGAGTTTGTGAGAAACCTTGCCAATAGTTTCCAGGTGTTGATGGTTCTTACCAGGGTTCCCAGGTTATTCCTCCACCAGTTTTACTGGCTGCCATTTATTGCATATATTGGACTGAGAAATGGTGTTAAACCCAAAACTACAACAAATCCTTCTGAAAGATGCAAATATAATATCTAGTTCAGCTTGTTACTTAACAATTAAACAACATTACAGATACCACCAATTTCAAACCAGCTAGATGAAAATTATCCTGACATAAATTTCTACATGACTGATTAATACTACACTTGCCTTTTAAACCATGCATGTCCAGTGAGTAACATCAGTTTCACTTATGCCTCTTGTTTTGTCCCATCCACCCCAGAGGTCAGCCATGTGCCTTGATAAGAAAAAAAAAAATAGATTGTCACAAATACCATTTAGGCACACATACCATTTTAATAAGTTGCAAATTGTGTAAAATTGTGTGGAATATAAACATTGTGTGTCTGATATAATTGTTCTTTCATTCCATTGGCTGATAAAAACATTGCCTTTTTATAATGAAAGACTGGCAAGCTGAATTCTTATGATTCAAAGTATCACCAAGAAATGTATCTGTTCCACAAGAATTGGAACTCTGCAAGTAAGACTAAAATGATTACAATTGTGGGGGGTGGGGGTGGACAGGCATGTTCCTAATAGTGCAAAGTATCAAAAGTTTGATTATTTGGAATTTTTTAAATTTTAACATCTCATGACCAGACTTTGTAGATCAGTGTATCCTTGGAAATGTAGAATGGACCCAATGCCTTCTTCTATGTTTCAATATGTGACTGATGTAAAATTTGTGCTTGCTTTTAAGTCTAGTCAAACTGTAAACAACAAAGATCCAGATCTGTCAAAGCATAATGTGTCTGCAGATTAGGGTCTGTGTTGTTTATTTTACTGATTAGTCCAAGCAATCTACACAAACTTAGATTTGCTGGCACATTATGCAATGGCAGATCTGGGTCTGTGTAGGTTGATGTTGGATTCATCTTATAAGCAAATATAAATGGTAGGCAGAGCTGTGGTGGATCAGTTGTAAGTATAATTGGCTTTTAGCCAATAGGCTGTGGGTTTGAATCCTGCCATTGGATCAGACTGGTTCAGTTGTTGGATGCTCATTGGACTAGACACTTTACTTTAATTACCTCCTTGTTCTGCACTACTGTCAAACACCAAGACAATCCAAACCAGTTTTCCCATAAACTTAGAATTTCTCCATCAATGATTTTAAAAGAAATAACTATCTGGGTTAGTGAATGAAAGCATTCTGTTTACAACTGGTCAAAATTTGAGGTTCAGGTAAACAAAAATTAAAGACCTTAAATCATTTTTGTCACAAAATTTATGATAAATAAGATGAAGAATAAATTTTAATGTGCAAATTAATGTTCATAATGAAATATGGATTTGAACGTTTTTTCTTACAGATAGAAGAAGGTAGATGTCATAGACCAGAGAGAGCCATGTATAATCTGAGTGACCCATTGAGACTGAAAATAGAACAGGTGTCACAGTTAAAGCTTTTGTTACAGTAAAGCACCATAGTTACAGGGACTTGGTCATATCTTGGTCATGAAGGAAATTCCTTTCCTTTCCCACATTCATTTCAGTTGCACTGGTTTCACATGTATACAGTATAATAAATTCTGTGGCTGTCCAGGATACAAGTTGACCTTCTTGACTAATTCTGTGAGACTAGGGCAATTAATCAATATAAAATCTTGCAGTGGGTGCACTTGAATGTATGTGGGCAGGCAAGGTGTCTGCCCTACTGCCCCATGTGTATGTTGACAACATTAAGAACATTTTTAAAAAATTAAAACTGGCACTGATTTTTTGTCAAAAAAACCCACTAGTTATAATGAAATTAAAGACACATTTAGTCCTTGAAACAGAAATGAGAACTATGCATTGGTCACAGCTGGCAAAATAATGTGACTGGATACATGCTCCCAAGGTTGACTGGTACATATTTTGTATAGGTATGGTAATTACCTAACTTTACAAACTTGTTGACCAAATGAAATGGGATAGACTTGTTCCTAGTCCTCAAAAAATGAGGACCAGTCAAGGGTTGTCCTTAGTAATCACCTTGTTATACCTTTATAAAAATGATCAGTGCATTAAGATAGGCATTGGATGAAGGTACCATTCCAAATAAAATGTATGTCCTGTAAGTATTCCAATGAATTAGTATGTACTTCTACCAGTGTGTGATTATTCATCATCAGCAAGTATAAGTAGACCTGAAGGCAGCCAATCATCTGATTGTTGCTCCCCCACCTACCCACAATTTCACATATTGTCTTAGAGTAAAAAAAAAAAAAATTTAAAATCAGATAAAGCATTCATATCAAATATTTTAATTATTGTTTAGAATTTCAGTTGTTATATTTAAAATCCAACTACATGCTATTGAACTTGCATGTGGAGTCTAATACTACAGAAAAATTGTCAGATATTAGCATTTAAATAATTATTAAACTAACCAGTGACTTCATAAATGTACACTTGAATTTTAACAAAGTGTTACTTTATAATAATTAATCAACGATTTGATTTAAATTAACATTTTCAAATAGTAATTTAATTCCCTGGCTGAACCCCTGTGTATGCTGTCAAAAAGTTTAAAGCTTTTGTCCTGATCAGTGATAGAAACTAGCTGACATAATGCAGGTTATATAAGAGCACTTAAGGTGTTGGACTTGCAGTCTGAAAGAAAACCACTCACCCATGGGGCACAAATAGACTCCTATATCATTTTAAAGAGTTATGGTGACCTTGAGAAAGAGATGGCCCACTATTGGGGGGTGTAGAGGAGTGCTCTTGAACAGGTGAATATGATTGTCCAGGATTAAAAAACATTGGCAACCTTAGAAATGTGGGTTTGGTTAGGTACATATTTAAATGATTTTCAAAATATGTATAAAATGTTTAAATTACTGTGCA